TAAAAAACTGTCAAAATTGTACCAATTGTGGTAGCGTGACGTTAGGTACCACAGATGGGCTTACAGTCCGGTAAATATAGGGTAAGTTAAGAATGTAATGTTTTCCGCTTTGACACTGCTCCTCTGACACATCCCCTGGGTTTGGTAATGCTGGTGAAGTAATAAATCTGTAACCTTCTCATTATTTCACAGCTAATCTAGACAAATTACACTCTGATTCACTGACATTTAAATCACATAAATGCTATCTTGAAAAAAGAAATCCTTCGGATTCCAAAACTGTGAAGTTTCCAAAGTGGTATGGAATTTATTCTCATTTACAATACCTTCCTGAAATTTTTTATCAAGAATTTGAAGTCATACATAATTGAAAAGTTTAACAATTAATCCATGAATGGCAACCCATAGTGTTGTGTATAGAAAATGTTCACACTTTATCACAGCCGACTTGGGTACCGGGAAACAAATCCTCTAATGAAATACATACGAATCCTTAATGCAATGTATATATAAGAGAATATTTACAGGTAGGGGTTCATGTTGAATATCATATATGTCTCATGAGTTCAAAGCAGGAATACAAATCTATATCTATATGAACTCTGCAATTCAAGTGAAAAAGTGCAATTCATTAATTTTGCAATATATTGTTTTTCAAAGAAGTAAAATGTTAACGCATGCATACATAAAAAAAGGCCTGTGAATATTACACAAAGCTTTATATCATTATCTTTGGTGCTGAGGATAATCCCAATGTCACATTTGACTACATAATGTATAAGGTTGTGTACAATTGTGCCATTTTGAATGATTCAGTTAAATAAAAATGTTCAAATCTGCTGTTTCTTAGTCATGCGTCTGAACAGAATTTCTGGAGGTTTTGAAAGAAGTGTTCTAATGGTTAATAACAAAAGTCATATATCTTCATATTGACAAATACTGGCGAAAATGTCATAAAGTGTATATGAATTCTTTGATGTAATATTTGATAACTATATTGTATATAAACCATGTTTGAAAAAAAGAGGGTGGATATACAACAATTTATTGAGATGAGATGCTTAATCAATATAAAAATAATAGGGTTACTATCAGTGACGTGTAAATTAAGGACATAAGTTCTAGATCAATATACAGACCATTGTACACAGTCTAGAGTAAATATCCCATGCTGAGAAACGTGTTGTTAATCAAACATTCACAACTAAAAAGAAATGTATTGATAAAAATAATTCAATAGGTTTACAATTTGAATGTGATCTTTGAGAGTTTTCCCTTTTTATTTAATTCATTCCTAATAGGGCCATTATACTGCATGGATCATTTTACAATTAGAAACTGGACGCAAGTTTTCATAATCATCAATATTATAAATTTTTGGGAAAATGATTTGCCAAAACGCTGGAGTTTGCATGGACTTGTCATTTACATATTGTACTATCGGTATAAGCAATGTATACACTGTAACCAAATGAGACAGAGTATCAAGATCAATTCACTGTACTGTACTGCTGTACTGTTATCAATTGAGACAGAGATCTCGATACACATGTACTTTTCAGATTCTCAAAGACTACATGGCCAGATTTGATCTCTGAACTGACTTCTAACAAGTTCCTACAGCACTTGGTGATACCCTACCATCTATTAAACTAGATGAAAAACATGGACTCCCCAATGATATAGTCACATGCATGTTTTCTTATATTTTACCATTGACCTTGAGGTGAAGGTTATGGTGACTTAAATACAGCACACACCATCAGCAAGAATCACACCTTCCCTTTCAAGTTTCCTAAAGATACTTTATACAACCCAGGCAAGATTTCACAAGAAATTAAGCATTTATTTGACCTTTGACCTTGAGGTCAACGCCACCATAACCTTAGTTTAGTGCACTGCATACCATCTGCAGGCATTGCATGCATACTTCAAATTTCATCAAGATTTCTTTGATGGTTTAAAGCTTTAACCCAGACAAGATGTCACATTAAATGCTACAGCAACCTTCTGGTAATGTCATTGGCTGCTCTAATGGGGATTTAGGCTTCAGTTCCATCAAGATAAGGAAGGAGACATATAATTATAGTAGAAAGTTGATTGGCTGGACAATGTATTCAGTTACAAATCTTAGAGGTTTCATATATATATATTGTATACTCAGACCAACACACTCTTAATTAATTAGATTAGATTAGATTTCTTGAATGTTTTGTCAAAACATGTATAGAGTGTAAAATAGAGAGAGCTCAATCAAAACACTGGTACCTACCGTAATGATGATGCTGGTCAACATTATACTAAAGAATTTATACAAGATGGATTTTATAGGTGAATCAAAAAAGTGGGAACAAATGATGTATTAAGATATGTATATTTTAAGTGTAAGTTTTCATATTAAATCAGCGACATTCAGATATGTTTATAATTTCCTGAAAATCTACACTATTTTCCCTTTCAGTAATTTTTAGATTTCATGTACATCTCAATTAATAAATGCCTTTATTGATCATGATACTTACACTGTGACAGTTTGTAAAGGATGGCCTTTTTGGGGTCCATTTGAAGCACCAGCAGGAACCATGACTTTTGTAGGAGATTTCCCTCTATCCCCTTTTGCTGAGTTTATTCTTGGAGTTCTCACACCCTCATTACGATCTGATTCTACACATGAAGATTGAACAGAATCTGAACGCCATGCAGCATCAGGGGCTAGTTTATACTTGTAAGCATGATCCGGATTAATATGAACATGATTGTGTTTGCTACACTGATGTCCGTGACTGTGATTGCTAGATGTACGAGGGTTACCAACAGAAGCACCGTTAGGTAGAGAAACTAAACTATCCTTCCGATTTGTATAGTACATGGAGGCAGTTATTAACTGTTGATTACTGCCATTAGTATTTGTACATTGCGTACAAACCGTTGAAACCTGAGTCTGTGTTGAAGACTGACTTTGTGTTGAGATTTGATTTTGTATAACACCAGCACTTGGGGTTGGAGCAGAATGGTGATGAAGATATTTCCGGAGCTCCCCAATGGGAACATCCGACTTTGTCATCCCGGGAGGGCGAAATCCATTTGCATATGAATGCTCTTGACGATATTGTTGAATATATTTCTTCAGATCCCCATAATGTCTAAACATGAACGAATCATCTTTTTGTTGTCTTGCCTTGTAGTCTTTCCAGGGTTGAATAAATTCTTTTTGTTGTTTACTATTTTCTTTTTCAGGTTTTCTGAAATTATTTTTTGGATCATAAATCCATCCCGTAACCTCCTCGTTTCGAACCTGAGCTTTATAAGACTTCCCGTCAAGTTTGACATTTTGAAAATATCTAGAGTCTATATCCTGTTCGTCGAAATCCAAAAGTTTGTTCTGAAGTTGTCTATCGAGAAAAAAATTATATTCATGGCTGGATTCTGGCTTTTCATCTGCTGTCATGACATCAGCGTGCAAAGAAATGGTCATTTAGAATTATTGACAACTTGCATGTGCTTGCTTACGATGTCTCTACAAAACTCTTCGAACATTCACGTTTCGCCCTGTTATAGCTCAGCCCGTCCTCCATTGTCAAACAATTCGTGTTGGTAAGCAGTCAGCTTAATCAAGCATTACCTGTCACACTCCACCTGAGGCCCAGCGTAGGGGAAATGTTAACAGCCAAATACAAATAATGCAATCAAAAGAAAGTAAAATTATGGAAGCAAACTAAAGTGTCATCAATAAACATATAAAACATCTTTGTATTAGAGTTGTTTCCAAACAATGAAACAAAAGCATTACAATATTTAATTAAGCACAAGGTGACGACAAAATCAAAAGCACCTGCTCTGGGTGCCTCTTGTTTGCGACTTCCAATTACACAAATAACACACAGTTAAAGACAACTAAAAATATTAACGGTCAAATTTTTATATCAATCATTTTAAATAAGCCATATGTTTCAAAAATTTTAGATTAAAAATATATGTGTCTGTGCATTTATATTTGCGACATTGAAGCATTAGCTACAACTGGGAAACACTTGAATCAAACTCAACGTACGCCTAAATAAGTTCTAGAGAGACGCCGATTTATTGTTTACTACTGCGCATGCGTGGCTTCATAAAATTCCAACATGGACGAACAAAACACCAACCATCGCATTCTGACTGAAAAGTTTCGGAAATTTCAAGTTATATACTAAATCGACCAGGTAAGTTTCATTGCATTTGGATGGCTGTTGGAGTTGTGAAATAGCAAACAAATATGCTAAAGACTAAAGTCCCCATTTGAGCAGAAAATACATTTGCAATGAGTTGCTAAGCATAACAATATTCGTATCTGTTTTGCGATTATTTTTGTTTTGACAGTGGCTAGGCGGAGAGATTTCATTACTCATTAATGTTAATCATTACGGGGCTTTTTTTCTAGAAAGTTTGCTTTGTTCAGTTGTTTACATCGATTGTTGTCGAATCTTTGGCAGTTCATACACATGGAAACAGGCAATCAGTTCTGAATATTAAAAGTAAATGTTCAAGTGGTTTACGCAGAGAAGTACAGTACTATCGTAGAAGTTGTGAAAGATCACTATGTGTTCATTATTTCATAGTGAAAGGTACAGTATTTTTGCTTAAAATAATACTTTTTTACAATAATAATCTAATACTATAACATCTGGTGGCACTGGTGATGGACATGGTTAAGATGCATTACACTAGGCATATAACACTGTGCCAGATGAAGCTAGATTATATTCTCTCTTTTTCTGAAGACTTTGAAGCTGTTTCACCAGGTTCCGATATACACAGTGTAATTGCAAAGCTCACCTTACAGTGTGAACTCGCACTGTATACTTGCATAAAAAGATTAGGGACACAAAATTGTGATGTAGAAAATGCCAGTGTCAGTTTGGGATTCAAACTTTGAATCTTTGCGCACTGTACAGACAGCAATGAGCTGATTATTATCAATACATTATATATATACATGTTATATATATGTCCCGCTATACTTAGAAA